TTCCCTTGCCCTAGGCCACGTCTGTCAGTTTGTATGTACCCCATGACTTGTTTAAATTTTAGTGCATCTTGTGCAGATTCTATTGCATTTAGAACCTTCCGTTTCGTACCTGTCTTAAGAGCGGGCTGGACAGCTGCCACCAGTGGCTCTAATGACTCGCACACCATCATCGCGTGTCTTACCTTGTCGACTTTAAACTCTTTGGTTATTGACTTGAACGAAAGCACCAGCTTAGCCTGCTCACAATACAGAGCCATGTCGGTCAGACAAGATGGTGTCCCAAGCCATTTTTTTCATGGCTGTGTTAATTTTCCTCTCTATCGTTTCCACTGCAGTCACGTTAATTCGTACAGGGGCAGCGGTCAGAGAAGCTTTGGAATCAACTTAAGCTGGAGACACTAGACCTTGAACTTCCCGGTCAACCTGCATTGGTCGATCGCCTGCAGGCTGTAGTCAATGACTCATGTATTCGCCGGACTTCGGCTCTATCGGATAACTTTGAATAGTAGACGCGGTTGATGCTCTTCCCTGGTTCCTCCAGAACCGTGGGGTTCCGATTCTTTGCCACCATAAAACTGACTACCGCCACCTTACCTTTAAGGATTGACAGACTCCTCGACTTCTACGGTTTGAATTGCATACCGCTCCATTGGACCACCTCGTCCAATCTTTTCAGAATCGTGCGAGCAGATTCCTCACTGCCCGTGATTATAGTCCTGTCCTCCATAAATGCACCTAGTGGCGGCATCCAGTGGTCCCCAATCTGAAGGCAGTAGCCGGCAGACCCCGGCAGACCTGCCTGGCCGTAACGAACAGTGTCGGCGAGATTATACATCCCATTGCTATCCCAACCTAGAGCTCAGTCCATCTCGTAGTAAACGTCGGGGTAGAGAAGCGTATGGTAAACTTTGAGAAAAATTGCTTGATCATTTCGGTGATCTGTGTGGGTACGTGGAACATGCAAATGGCCTGCCACAATAGCTTATATTTTGTCGTCCTTCTGCGTTGGTGAGGTCCAAGCATATCAAGTGAAATTGGGTTCTCCCTGTATTAACTCTCTGAATAGACTTCCAGATCATGGTCGCGTGTTTAAGGCACCCGGAAACGCCCCGAATTCCATATTGCTAAACAGTCGTGTCGATGTATTTGTTCACCATCAAATACTGTGTGAGCTTGCGGGTCATAAACGAGAAAAATATTTTGCCTTCAACATTCTAGTGCGAGACAGGTCTGAATTGGGACAGACTCGAGGAGTCTAAGCCTCCCTTAGGATTGTAGACCACGTTGGCTCTCTGCCACTGAGTTCATATGAGCTTGCGGCTCCACGCTAATCTTAGCAAGCTGTGAAGCAATCGGAGGACGTTCGGGCAGTGTTTGTACACGACGTATTGTACACCGTTGGGCCCTGGGTCGGACTTGCTGCTAGCTCTCTTTACAACTTCTTTGACCTCAGACCAAGAGGGAGGCATCGGTTTAAGCGGTACCTTCGGCAACACTGGCTGTTTCAGGCCGTTGGTGATCTCTGGGATGTCATCGAGAGGTTCATTTCTTGTCCGATCGGAGTTCATCTTCAGTAGATGTGACTCCAGCTACTCTTTACCGACCACCAGTCCCAGACTTGGGTTTCTCGAACAGTCCTCGGGCAAACTGAAACGGGTCCCTAGGGAACATCTCTCGCTCCTTTTAGTTCTCCGTCTGTTCTTATAGAACCTCTCAGCGCGACAGAGGGCACTGTGTCTGCTCTTCAAGTGTAGCCAGACCTCCTACAAACCCGCCCGTTCGCTGCCTGTGGCGGCTTTGAACCGTTTTCTGAGTGCATTCTTGTCTGATCGGCACTTCTCAATGTTCCTGTCTCCTGGTTTTTCCTCACTTCATTCAGAGGAATGGCAAGACGGACATATAGCCGGATTGTGACCGGTACTATCAGCATTAGAACTTTCCGCTGGCTGTTGAAGATGAGGACGGAGCGTGCATGGGAATTTCCCGAGTGTTGTGATGTCAATTCTTGACTCAATTGAAATCAACTCACCTAGACACTTTTTCTTACATTCATCATTAATTTTCTCACACAGTTCAAAGTGTCTTACACTTTGACACCCTATCGCTTGCGGATGGAAACTTGACCTTCGTCCGCACTTCGTCAGAGATGTTCAAATGTGATAAACGTCTAGGGCCTCTCCGGGCGAGTGGGGTTCACCCTGCCCGTCGTTCTCTGACGACTCATCAAGTACAGGAGTAGTTATGCGCCGACGCTTACTAAGTGGCACACACTCGCATCTCATCCTTCCAGGATGCGTTCTCAGGCCATGCAACCTAGTTGCTTTTTCCACATGTAGACTGCCAACCTAGACGTTGAGCAGAATTCTCGGTCCGTGGGCTAGCGGGGTCGTCACCGTTAGTATCAATAGGGTATGCTTTATTATTCTCCCTCTCTTTCGAGGGACCCTGAGGGCATATTTCACTATTGGTTTGCTGTTTAAGTAAGGCTGGCACATGCGACATTTAAAGAAGTCTATGCTATGTCAGATTTAGGTAAAGCTAGCACTTGCCACATAAAAAAGGCTAGCACATACCACATTTAAAGGTTTGACCACACCAGGTTTGAGAAAGGCGAAGACTCGCAGATTTAAGGAAGGCCAGCATATGCAAGATTTAAAGAGAACTAGCGCACGCCTGATGTAATCAAGGTAAAGAAAGGCATGACAGATTACCAAAGGCTAAAGCTGATTTTAGGAAGGTTAGTATATGATGATTTGATGAAGACCAGCACACGCTAGATGCACGGAAGGCTAGGAGCACACGAGGATTTGAGGAAGGCTAGCACACGAAGAACTTAGGAAGGCTAGCACACGAAGATTTGAGGAGGGCGAGCACACGAAGATTTGAGGAAGGCTAGCACGCGAAGATTTGAGGAAGGCTAGCACACGAAGATTTGAGGAAGGCTAGCACACGAAGATTTGAGGAGGGCTAGCACACGAAGATTTGAGGAAGGCTAGCACACGACAGCAGGAACACGCCAGATTTACTGGAGGCTAGGACTTGCAAGGTTTAACGAAATTGAAAGTATACAGATTTAAGGAAGGCTAACAAACGTCAGAAATCCAACAGTTACTGCGGAGGAACGAAACTCCGACTCTACAAGAGCATCATTTTGCCAGTTCTTTTTTATGGAGCGGAATGCTGGAGACTGACCAAAAAGGATGCAGACAAGCTGTTGACCTTCCACCACACATGTCTACTTAGAATTATTAAAATTTTCTGGCCAGATACAATCTCAAACACTAAACTATTTCAAGTCACAAACCAAGAAATTTTAGACAGTATATTAACCAAGATGGAAGATGGAAATGGCTTGGCCACGTTACGAGAATAAATCCTGATATACCTGCCAAAACAGCTCTCACATGGACACCAGAGGGAAAGAGAAAACAGGGGCACCCAAAAAAGAACATGGAGACAAACGATGGAAAGTGACCTGAATGCGGCATCTCTGACACGGAAAACTGAACTGAAGATTGCACAGGACAGGAAAGCATGGAAAGTCCTCTCCAAAGCCTCATGTGCCGCTAGGCATAACGAGAACTGATGATGATGATGATGAACATACGTCAGATGTAACGAAGGATAGTAAGCAAAGTTAAAGACCTTTTCCTCACTTTTAGGCGTATTAGGCATATAGGGCTAGATACATATTTTATAAACCAGCCGGCACTTGATGGGTGATATAATTAACATCATACGGCCGCCTGCACTTCTCTGGATTTGGCCTGGAATCCATTTAAAGTTGGGTCGACCTGGGAACCAAAATCATTGAAAACAAAGATCTGGCTCCAAAAGGATCGGAATCCACCACTTTCGGATCATCAGGCGATGGTCTAGCCATTACACTCAGGCTGCTTCTATATGACAAGCATACTACAGATTTTTTTTTTTTTAAACTAGGAGACTCTAAATTAAAGAAAGGTAAAGACACGCAAATTCAAAGAAGGTTATAACGCTCAGATTTAATATAAGTCATAAGGATTAGACACAAAGATTTAAGAAATGTTTACCACTTACAGAATGACCAGTAAACTCACTATAAGTTGTTTAGTGTTGACCCAGTTAAAGTTGTTTACAGATGAAGACCATAACCGCGGCGGTGCAGTGGCTGAACACTTGGCTGCCGACCTGAATGTCTGAATGTCGTGGGTTCGAGTAGAAACAGCAAAATGAGTATAAATAATATTGACTCACAGGCGAATCCAGCACAAAACGTGTACTAGGAAATACAGAGAAAGGAAAAGAGATCCGAATGATATTGATCATATCATTTGTTGAGTGAATACTGGCCTTAAAAAATGAGTCTGCAACATTTACCCACTGCACCAATAGCGTGAAAAGAGACGTTTACGCCCCTAATCACTTACCGATAAGGTTTATCGCTAGGACGCGCTCTCTCTCTCTCTCTCTCTCTCTCCCTCTCTCTCTCTCTCTCTCTCTCTCTCTCTCTCTATCTCTCTCATTTTTTCTCTTACTCTCTATTTCTATCTCTCTATCTATCTCTCTCTTTGTGTGTGTCTGTCTCTGTGTGTGTGTGTGTTGTATTTGTTTAGTGGAACTATATACTTGGTGCTTTCCCTATTACTGGATGAGTACATTTGTACTAAAGCAAGGGAAAATGAAAACATAGAAAGGGTGGATAGGAGAAGGCGGAGATGGCTTGGGTATGTTTGCAGAATGCCTCGTGACATTTTGGCAAGGACAGGCTTTCATGTGAACGGCAGATGGGGAAGAGAAACGATGGCGTCCTAAGGGTACCTGGAGAAGGACAGTAGAATATATAGTAACATGGGGTACCATAGGCAGAAAAGCTGCGGACCGGCAACAATGGAGGTCACTTATGCATGTCTTGTGTCCACAGCGACATGAAGATGATATATTTAAATAGACTATGTTTTTTTTTATTACTTGTATCACTGATAACGCCTTGATGTACACACGAATGGTGTTCCGCAGAGGATGATGTGTACTTCGCGGAAGAGGCATTGCTGAGCGAATATGTCCTCAACCCGATAGGGATCATCTATACTGGCTGCGTCGACAATATTGACCGCAAGTACTGGTACTATGGTCAGGTAAACACTTCGCAAATCTGTTAACTGTTTTGACACTTTTACATATCTTCGCCCTTTCATCTGCCACAACTCCCGTAAATTGTCGTTGTGACTGTGTGTTATGAAATACCTAACTCTCGTATGTCGCCACTAACTCTGAAGAGAAAATTACATGGGGTTCAGTGCAAAACGGACTGGACGTTGCTTAGTATATAAAAAGCCACAAACGATGCCACGACGCCTAGTTTTAGTTGACTGCCTTTACGAGCAAAGTGACAAGCTTATCGTTGGTTAATCGGACATGTGTTAGACTTTGGCATTTTGCAGAGAGACACTGGCCAACATTTATCAGACACTGTGGTTTTAAGGAGTAAGAAGCATTTTTCCTCTAGGGACTAGGACCAGTCTCGTTGCGTCCACAGCCAACTCAAAGCCCTTTCAGCCGTTTCACCCAGTTGTTTCAGTTCCCGTTTCTGTTCTTTTCCTCGCTAGCCCAGGTGCTTTGGTACATTGTATGTGGAGCTGGGGAGAAGTCCTCTTGAGCCTACCTCGACGGCGAAGAGTTTTACTTGTACGCCTTATCACTGGCCACCAGTTCCCGGTATTTATCGAGCTTTGTACAGTTTTTTTTTTTTCATCCTCGACTCGTACGGCACGCTCCGCTCTATTAGGATAAGCTGGCGTTCTGCCTCAGAGTGCAGAACTATGTCTGGTTTCAGACCAGTCTTTCGGATTGATTCGTGGTATTTCTCGAAACCAGTCCATGGAACAATAAAGTATTGATGGAGAGCATTACGTGACATTACCTTTAGGAATCTGTCTAGCTCCTTGAGGTAGCGCATGGGGGGAGGGGGAAGGGGAGTGTCAGGATTGACCCTCGCGTTGGCCCTCGAACTGGCTTATTCACAATGTCAGCTCTTTCAGGACTTTACTGTGGCGCCATGTATATCGTCCCTGGCCTTGGGTTTTTCTGCAAGCGGACAATACGTCTGCTTAGCTCTGCTTGGGGACGGTGGTCGCATGTCATTTGGGATAACACGTCGACGGCTGATCTTATAACAAGGCTCAGTCGCGGTGGGGCTATTCGCCAGATTTCACTCCATATAAGTGTTCGTGGCAAGAGGCTCTCGAGACCGATCCACTGGCCTTGCTGCGACTTTCAGGCTGCTTTTGTGGACTTGAATCTCGTTATCGGAGTCCTGTCGTCTGTTTTTCATGTTTTCATGTCTCTGCTTTCTATTGCCGAAGTATTGGACCACGGCGTGACTTTTCCTTGCTCTAAGCACTTCCATTTCCTACCTGTCCTTAGAGCAGGCTGGACAGCGGCCACAGTGGGGTCTGAAGATTCGCTCAGCATAATCGCAAGTCTTACCTTGCCGACTGTAAGCTCTTTGGTTATTAACTTAAACTGAAGAACCAGCCTAGCCTGTTTATAAAATAAAGCCAGTCAGACAAGGCCTCCCCCTGGACCACTTTCTCGTGGCTTTGTTAATTGTCCGCTCCATTGCCACCACTGCGTTTGTAGTTAAAATAGATTGACAATGCATGCTAAGAAAGGTGGAGAAAGGCATGTCCCGTTCTGAGTAGCAAGCAGAGGTCCCTGGTACTTAGCGACCTTTGGATGCTTTCTCGACCTATGCACGCGTGTTGTGAAATAAACAGGCAGGCAGACTAGAGCTGCACGACTTGATGCATTACACATAAGATGTGGTCCAGGCGTTTTTTGGAGCAAGTGAACAATACAGCTGCGCGAATAGATCATTACTGTATGGAAAGAATAGTGCATGGGGGGGGGGGGTGGGGGGGGGGGGGGGGTTAATGCCCAGGTGGCCTGGCTAATATTCTACACTCACATACAAGGCAAGGCGGATATACAATCAAACTTCTTTTGATACCATTACAGACACTTAACACTCAGATGAAAGGCAAGACAGACCTACAGTCAAACTGCTTTTGCTACTGTCAGCACTAGGACTATTCACTGGTGCCTAAAGATAAATACTGAGTACGTTTAGGAATGTCCTAGTTGTTAAGATGTCAGTCAACTAACTAATCAAAGCAAAGTGAAGCTAATAATGACAGCAAATGATACCCGTAATTACAAAGAGCTTTCATTTGAAACACGTTCTTGCCATATCGCACACATTTACATGCGTTGAATATGATCGTCTCATGGTCATATGACAAGTACTAACTAGTGAATCAAACAGCCCTTGCTTTTCGTCCCGTAAAGCATAGCTCTGTTTCTGACCGTAGAGAAAATGGCCATCTTGATCCTAAGGAGCTCAAAGAGCGGGATTTCGTTTCTTTCATTTGAAGGATGTTGACTAGTAAACATTTATCGACGAATTCAGGCAGAGGTCGATAACAAATATTTGTTTGAGACACTGGGGACAGACTGATCACAAATGTATGGGAAATGATGTGAGTTCACCACAGATCGTGTATTCTTCTTTTTTTTTCTTTCGCTTGAAATAGATTACATCTGCAATGTTCTAGTATGACCTTCTTTTTTTTTTTTAAATTGCTCAGCTACCAGTAAAGTTTGGTTCCACTGCTGTTTTTCTTGGCCACAAGTATTGCCTTGCTATGTTGTATTTGGGACAGTCTTGGAGGATGTCACCCGTTGTCTCAGGTGACAATCCACATGTACACATGGCTGATACGCCACTCAAATTATGTGCACATGTGGCTATGAAGTCAATTGTGCCTTTTTTTAAAGGATATATTTATTGACTTGCTCAGGTGTGTAAAAAATATGGTAATCGTCTTGTGTCGGTTTTGGTGGCTTTCTGACTGATTTCTGATCAGGCTACATGCCTCGATACCCAGCTGATTATCACCTTTTCTGTGTTCACCAATGGAGCTGGGTTCTTGGACACCAGGCAGCCTGCAGGGTCCGTCAGTGCCATGGGTTCTTGGACACCAGGCAGCCTGCAGGGTCCGTCAGTGCCATGGGTTCTTGGACACCAGGCAGCCTGCAGGGTCCGTCAGTGCCAGACATGGCTTCCGGTTCCTGACTGCCTGCAGGGTCCGTCAGTGCCATACATGGCTTCCGGTTCCTGACAGCCTGCAGGGTCCGTCAGTGCCATACATGGCTTCCGGTTCCTGACAGCCTGCAGGGTCCGTCAGTGCCATACATGGCTTCCGGTTCCTGACTGCCTGCAGGGTCCGTCAGTGCCATACATGGCTTCCGGTTCCTCAGTGTCTGCAGAGGAATGCTGAGATATGTCTTTGTTTTTGGGCTCTGACAGTTTGAGAAATTGGTATCCGAGTTGCCTGTTTTAAAAAGGCGATGGACCTTGGATGTCGTTTCCAGTGCTTAGCAGTCAGTGACACATTCTTCACTCTCAGTCGCCTGTTGACGGATTACATGGCACTTAATGAGATGAAGAAGCAAAGGTCAGACGCGGACTAACTGGCCGTGGGCACAGCGGGCGAGGCGGGATTTCAGGGTGGGATCTGAAATCCTTATAAAATACCTTATTTTCTCGGAGAGGTACTTGCCAAGCGGGTCGGGGCGCTATAACCCTTTTCCCCGAGTAGATGGAACCTGTTAGCTCTGGACAGCAGTCCATCTAGGAGACAGCAAACTCTTAATATAAACCCCCAAGTTCAAGATAGGCCAACGTCCCGAGGAACTGGATGGCCACGGGTGAGCTTGTCGTGAACGTTGGACGTCTTGCGGGCGTGCGGGGCAGCACCAGGTATACGGGACATCCATTGCCTCTTCCCTAGCAGGCAGGCAATACTAGGGTGACCGGTCATTTTCTGCAGTACTCTATTTTTTCGCATTTGGATCTAAAAAATATACATAGGAAACGTCGCCGGAGCTACGGAGCACGTGCTCTGCGCTTTGTCAATTTTTCAGCAGTTCGTGAAGATAGTGAGGAGGAGACGACGAGGGAATGGGGAGAGAAGAAGGCATAGGAATAGGTGGGCAGGTGCTAGGAGAACAAGACAAAAAGCGGAGGGACTGAGCTTTAATAACGTAAGAGAAGGATACTGGAACTGTCGGAGTGCTAGGCAGAGAGGTCCTGTACTGGAGAGGTTGATTTTTGATTTTGATGTCATCATGCTTTAGGAGCTAAATACAGACATATATCATTGCCCTGGGTACGTCAGTTATATAAACCCTGTTGTACAGGAGAGACATGGACAAGGTGAGGGAGTGAAGCATGTGGTGCATGACTTGAGCCAGTGGAACCACAGTGGAAGAGATGTTCAAGGGATACAGGTGGAAATTGGTGGCTTAAGTTGGAACCTCATAAATATATGTGCCTCGGTAGACTGTTTTGTCAGAAGTGAACAATGGGGCTGGCTTAAGGAGTTCCACGTGATTGGTTACTCATATGTGGGGATTTCAACGCGAGGAACAGAGAATGGGACAGCAGTGGAGAAAACCGACAGGCAATTGCTCTTGAAGAGGCCATGGCTGACTCCTATATGGTCTGCATCAATGATGGGAGGCCGACATAACATGAGGTCTTGGGATGCAGACACAGCCTTTGACTTTACATTTGTCTCTCAGTCGTCGGTTTTAGATGTTAAATGGACTGTCCTGAATGACCATGGGAGTGATCGCCTACCATGTTCAGTCTTGATTTTTAAACACAGTAAGGTTAAGGTTGGGAGAGCACGCAAGACCTTCCAGTAAAAGTGGACCAACAACCTACTTGGACGCCTCAGACAGGGAGCATGCAAAAGAACTGCCAGAACCAATTTTCTACAGCGCCCATGGTGGACTCCAGAAGTAGAACAGGCGTGGAAGGCAAAGAGAGCCACAGTGAAGCAGCTAAAGAAAGTACGACAGACACCCTCAAGCTCACGAGAGGAAGTGAAGATGGCGAAGAATGTGAAAAAATATAAGGTGGAGGTTTTCAAGCGCTGTGCTGCAGAGGCCAAAAGAGCAAAGTGATGAACTTTTGTGAATGATATGGAAGGCGATAAAACATTGGGAAAATTATGAAAACTGCAAAGGCAGATGCAAAGAAAAGATCGGCCTATGACAGTCGGAACAATTTGTAGAGACGATGGTGTGCGTGTGACAACAGAACAGGAGAATCGGGAGGCTTTTCTCCATAGGTTTAAAGCTCAGACAGATAATAATGATGTAGACATCAGGGATGCAGTTAGAAAGGAGTTAGCTGGCACCTTGAAGAATGTGCATAATGAAGACATGATACAAGTGGAAGATATCAAACAAATTTTGAAAAAAAGCAAAAGAAGCTGCACCAGGGCCTGATGGAGTCAGGTATGGTCACATGAAGGCTTTGAGCGATGTAGAGCTGGCAGAGATGGCTGACTGTTTTAACCAGAGCATTAAGACAGCATCGGTACCGCGGGACTGGGTGCACAAGTATCTAATCCCACTACCAACAACTTTTAAAGATCATTCTAAGCTCAGTGGTACAGAATCATCACCTTAAGACATCTTAATGACTGCACTGAAGGAGAAGGAGGTCAGTCCATGGCTGGTGAATTGGGTTGCAGCTGTCCTGTATTAACGTCGGGTTGCTCTCCACTGGGCTCATGGACCTCAGAACCACGCACTGCCACATGGATCCGCCATCTCGCTTGTGCTCTTCAGCGTGTATACTAGCAAGATTACAAGCCTAGAAGCATCAGGAGTTGGAAGGATACTGACTTTTGCGGATGATATACTTGCATAAAGGCAGGGGGAAGAGATGGAACACACAACCCGGAAGCTACAAGCGACAGTATACAAAGTGACTGAGTGGTACAGCAATGAGAGCTGTCGTCCACCCAACCGGAAAAGGCGATTGTTTTGTGATGTTCTCTGGACAACAGAATCGTTAAAGCTAATGTCCCAGGTCTCACAATAGATGGTAGAAACGTCAACAGAGAGAGCAAACTGAAGTATTTTGGAATTACATTTGACAGGAGCCTGTCATTTAAGGACCATGTGGAGAGTGTTGTGACGAGATGCCTGTCGCATGCGGATATGCACTAGGACGCACCAGTACCGAGTGAGCAAATAGGACGTCAAAATAACACGTTATGTTGTTAAGGGATTGTATTCTAGGAGATGAAAGTCGAAGTTTGACCAAGGCCGACGTGTGGTCCGGTCTTGGTGTGGATCCTTGAGAATGCTATACCCCGGGATGCCACAGAAAGTATTCGTTGTATAAAGTTGCATCTTTAGGGACGCTCTTTCCCGGGACTCCACTAGAAACCTCGGCGGAAAGATGGTACATTGTCTATTGAGCTCAGCAGGAAGCCAGTATACTTAAGGCCAGACTATTAAGAGGGATACTGCCTTGTACAGACTGAAGAGGAGATCGATGTGACTGTCCGGACTTCCAAGGTCGGACTGCGAACTGTCGTTTGAAATGAAGATGTCAGTTGATGTACGAGCGGCTGCTTGTGTTGGCCCGCTGATGTTTGGGTGAGCCTGGAGTTCGATTCATTGCACATTTTCTCATTTTTGTTGATCAAGTGTGTATGTCAATACACCAATGTTACCTATATAAGAGCGTTCATCGTTCAACTGCGTTTGAAAGCCTTTAACATTCATCATGTTATGTCACACTTGGCCGGTGGCATTGTAATTTGTTTGATGCTGCATTTGTTACGTTAACGACGCCCTTTTTCGTCCTTGGTACGCACATCACAATAGGAACCTACGCCTCACAATGAAGCCACGACAGGTCACAATGCCAAAAAGGACTTAGTGCACTTAAGACTATGGCTGAAATTGACATAGAGCAGAGAATGCTTTTCCTACTATATCAGCACCTGATTCTGTCAGTGGTTGATTATGGCCTGGGACTGCGCACCGTCTCAAAGAGTCAGATGAACAAACTTGAGCGCATACAGAACGCGGCTATGCGGGTCATTCTGGGCTGCACCAGAGACACCCCAGTTGTGTGTATGGGATACATCCTTGGTTTGCCGAAGGTTGCAGGTAGACACAAGGCGCTGCAGGCGAAGTCATATCTCAGGGTAGCTGCAGACACAGACCACCCTCTGCATGAAGCTCTGGGTGCAGTGAAGGGTCAGCGGCTGATAAGAGGGAGGTCATGGATGGCTCAAGCAGAAGACACAATCAGACAGGTTTGCATCCTTGAGAACATTAGGCGAGGAGAGGAGTGGGTCAAAGTGTCACCTGAACAGTCAGACTTGTGTAGAGTCATAATCACGCTGAGCCGGGAATGCAGAGACTGGCCAGCAGGTGCCACAGAGGTGGCAATTCGGCAATTAATTCAAGATAACGCTCGCTCAGAGGATTTGATCATTTACATAGACGGTTCAGTGTCAATAGGCCAAAAAAAAAGTGCTTAGGGCTTCTTAGCAAAAGGTAATGGTCGAAGTTTAGTGTCGGAGAGCCTAGCATATGATACCACAATATGCAGCTAAAGAATGGAGGTGGAGGCGATCACT